TATATATATATATATATATATATATATATATATATATACTATAAAACCACCGAAACTGAAGTAAGAAGCTAAGAGCCAAGAGTATGAGACAGGGAAGATAAGTATGCCTAAAGACCAAGATTAAGACCGACTTCAGTTAAGCCCAACTTAGGTCTGAGTTCCCTGGAGGCCAAAGCAAAGGAAGAAATATGTTGCTTATGAAAAACAGAAACACTATTTCATTAGGAGAGAGGACAGATAGGAGGGAAATGGGCTGAAACAAAGCAGGGGAAGGAGGCACAGATTTGGACCAATGGGAGAAGGTGAGCCCCCTGTAAGACAAAAGACATTAAGAGCACAACAGCAGCTTCTCACCACCAGATGAGTACTGGATAGTAGAGTATTCATTACCAGGTAAACACTCAACAGCTTCTTTTTAAAAGTTTTTTTTTATTATTGGTCTTGTTCATCTTAAAGAAAAAAATCAAATAAACGTATTACAGAATTTCAGCAAAGTTTATGTGTGTGTCGCACAGAAACTTTGCTAGACTCTGTGAGGAAGAGGAAGGAAAAACGCTGGCCCGGAGAAGCTCACAATAGTTATGTCTAGGTAGAAAAGCCACCAGTTGTTCTAAGCAGTAGATAAGTGACAAAGAAAGGGTTATTGGGGACGCTTGGGACAGCTGGGGTAGGCGGGTGGGTAAGCCTCCTGGAGGGTTTAGAGTTTGAAGTGGCCTGGGAAGCTGGGAGGATTCGGAGAGGCCAAGGAGCGAGCACGCAGACCTAGCGAGGCCTCGGCGTGCTCAGGCCCGGAACCCACCGCTCGGCAGGTGAACCTGGTGTCGGAGCACATTTGGTGTGAGGACTTCCTGGTGCGGAGCTTCTACCTGAAGAACGTGCAAACCCAGGAGACGCGCACCCTCACGCAGTTCCACTTCCTCAGCTGGCCGGCAGAGGGCACTCCGGCCTCCACTCGGCCCCTGCTGGACTTCCGTAGGTGAGCGTCTTGGGCGCCTCCGAAAAGCTGGGGGCTGCTGGCCTGCGGCCGCCGACTGTCCAGCCGCCCAGAGAGCCCGGGGAGAGAGCAGCACAAGAGCAGGGGACCCTCAGCCCTCCTCCTGGGGCCCCACGTCCTGGGAGGCAGACCCGGAGCCTGGCCTCTGACCTCCAGCCGCCCCCTTCCAGACACCCCAAACCAGGACTGACGTTCTGTCTTGCTGTGCCCATCCCTCCACCCCTGTGGTCCGGCTGCTTTTCGCTGTTTCGCAGATGCTCTGCTGTCTCCCTCTCAGGGCCTCTTTTTCTCCCTGCTTCTCTGTCTGGCTCCTTCTGTTTTACCCACTTCTCCAGGAAGAGCTCACCGTATTTCTGGCTCCTTCGCTTTCTCCTCTCCCTCTCCTTGGCCGCTGCCTCATGACCGTTCCGTCTGCGGAACCCTCGCTGTCTCTTACTCCCTCCTGCCCATCTCCTCTTTGTCCCTCTCTGTCTCTTTGCCTCCATTTCTATTTCTCCCCCGCTCTCTTTCCTTCTTTTTCCCCTCCCTTCCCTTTCCTCTTCTGTCTCCCCACCATCTTCTCTCTCCCCCTCGTCTTCTCTCTATCACTGTCTCTCACCCTTATCCCATTTCTCTCTCTGCACCCCTCTCTTGTTCTCTCCCTTCCCTCCCTTTTTCTTCATCTCCCTCCCATCTCTGCCCCTCTTTGTCTCTATCTCCCCCAACACATGTCGCTGTCTTCCCCTCTCTCCTTCCCTCTCCCCTCCCTCCTCTGTCTCTCTCTTTCTCACAGCTGCCAGTGTCATTTTTGTGATCTGCAGCTAGTATTCTCACTCTAGTTGCATAGTCACAAAAGTGACCATTGGCAGGTGTGGCCGCTGCATGAACAGGACAGACAGGACATGTGGACCCAGGGACCACCCCAAAGACAGCTGGAGGAGCTGAGGGCTGGGGGGGGGGACACAGGAAAGAGACAAATGCTATCAAAGGGAGTGCTGGAGGATCTCTGGATTCTTGGGGACTCAGTAACAGGGTGGGGGCTGGGACGGGAAGCTGAGGGACTTATCCTGTTCTGACACTGAAACTGAAACCGCACCTGGACCAGGCCTCCAGCATCCTCTGCCTTCCCCTTCACAGGCAGGTGGCTGAGAAGCCTGTCCTCACTGATGGGCCTCCCCTCACACTGCAGCCTCTTTCGGCTTCTCTTAGCCTTGCCAGGCTGGCCTGAGGTCCCTAGATGCTGGGCAGAGAGCAGAGGAGCAGAGCTGGGGTGAGGACCTGGGAATGGTTTTTGAGCCTCAGAACAATGGTTTCTAACTGGGACCCCTGGGGCCTGAGGCACATTGCTTCTTCAAAGCAGTGCCAGAGGCATCAGAGCTATTTCCTGTTTTCCACAGTTTAAAAATTCTTGTAGAACATGGACCCCTTTTAAGGCTGCACAGATAAGCGAAAAGGTTATGTTCTTTTGCTTTAGGCTAGAATTATGTAAACTCAGTTGGCATTAGATACCCAGCACAAATTCATTGCTGCTTAATAAATATAGTTTGGTGACGGTCCAACAGAGAGAAGGCAAAATAATTTTTTTTTAAGATTTTTATTGGGGAATTGGGGGGATGGGAACAGTGCTGGGGAATTGGGGGAAGGGGAACAGACAAGTTGCTGTCGTTTTGTTCTTCAGTCTAGTTGTGGAGGACGTCGCTTCACTGGCCCAAGTTGGCACCATCATTGCGCTCTTCCTGGGCGGTGCCTCTTCCCGGGCGAGGCAGATCAGTCGCAGGCCTCTGGACGGCCGCTCACTGCAGCTGCTAACCGCTCACCCTGGCTGCCGGCTACACACGGTAGCCCATGGCAACCCACTGCCACAGGGGCTGCAGCCTACGCCATTGCCGGCGACTCATGGCATCCCAGCTCCAGGTTGAGCTGTTGTTCAGCATCTTAGCTGTAGAGGGCAGTGTCACTGGCCCTCATATGTGGGATCCGAACCCGGGCCCTCTGGCATCCCAAGCCAGTTCTTAACCATTGTGCCACTCGGCCAGCCCAAAATAATTTTTTAAAGGCCTAGAAAGTGACCCAGAGCAAATTTTTTTACCTCCCTCTGTTTCCTTACCTGTGAAATGAGGATGAGGACCCATACTTTAGGGGGTTGTTGCAAAAGTCAATAGGATATAGTCTATAAAATCTAGTTTAAGTGTCTGCCACACAGCAAGGCTCAATTAATTCTAGATTCTATTTATTATCATTATTATTAAATGACTGGAAGTCACTGTTGCAACTTCTGTTCAACTCCAGCCCTCTGACGTACAAGCCGATGTGCTAGAAAACCAAGTGGACTCCTGTAAAACCACTCAAAGTCACCTGATCCCTACAAGCCTGGTGGAGCCAGGAAGCTGCCCCTGAAACAGTCTGCTAACCCCTAAGAAGTTTCTCCCTAGTCCTAGCTCATTGGAGGCATCAGGAGTGTGCAGGTGACTCTCAAAGCAAGAAGGTTATAAGGGACAAGGGCAAGTTAGACTGGGCCACCGAGGGAGGGAGAAATCCCCTGCTCCTTGCTGAGCTGTAGTCAGTGCAGCAGAAAAGAGTCTGAGGTCCAAGTGGACCCCAAGTCTGAATATGATCCAACCACAAACTCAGCATTTGTGCTGAGATGAGGCTGATCTAGGAGGACAGGCAGAAGCACAATGTTCAGAGTTGAGGGATTGTCCTCCCCTGGCCAAAGGAACGTGTGCCCAGGTCTACCTAACCTCACAGCTGAGGAGGACCAAAGGGAGCCTGAGTGGGGAGGAGGGCAGAGGATCAGAACGAGGATGTGGCATGATTGACACCCTGGAAATCAGCAGAAAGCCTGTTGTCCTCAGACTTCTGGCATAGGTGGCTGTTAATATTATTATGTATTATTAATAGTAGCTGCCGTTTATTGAGCATCTACTGTGTGCCAGACCTTGCACTTAGTTCTTTACATGGATTATCTCATGTAATCATGGTAAGAACCCTAAGGAGAAGGTTACTGTGATTATCATACCCTTTCTACAGGTAAGAAAACCGAGGCACAAAGAGGATAAATCAGTTGTTCCAGGTGCATAGTTTGGGCACAGAGCTTATAAGTGACAAGGCAAGCCCAGTGCTACCCACCATCGTGTCTTTATCTTTGTCTTCAGCCCTGACTCCTCTCTCCAGCCCTTTTTCTTCCTCCATCCTGGGCATGTGAGGAGAAAAGGAAGAAAGAGAGGCCCCCAGGTGTGTGTTTCGATTCTCCTTTCCCTCACCTGGTGCCCTCGTACCCATCTCTTGTTGCAGGAAAGTGAACAAGTGCTACCGGGGCCGCTCCTGTCCGATCATTGTGCACTGCAGGTGCGTGGAGAGGGGCTGTGGGATGGGGGTTGGGGATGGGAGGGTTTCGGGGGTGGCACAGGCCGGAGGGCCCTGAGGTGGGGCATTCCGGATTCCCGCCCCCCTGGTCCTGCTGCCATGCACTGCCTGCCTGTCCCGTTGATGCCTGCAGTCTGCAATCTATGGGCCAAATTCAGCATACCATGTATTTTTAATGGCCCATGAACCAAGAATGGTGTTCACATTTTTAAATGGTTAAAGGGAAGAAAAAAAAAGAAGAATGTGCAACAGAAACTGTATGTGGCTCACAAAGTTGAAGGTGTTTATCATCTGACCATTTACACACAAAAAATTTGTTGAACGAAAAGCCAGGCCAGAGGCTGGAAACCCAATCCCATTTCCTTCTGCTGCCTCCACCCCAGGGCTGAGCCAGGGCTCTCCTTTCTCATTGGCCCACTGCCCAAGTGACACCCCATGGGTCCCAGGCTTCCAACTCAAGGCCTACTTCCTGGGACCCAGGTGCTATGACCACTCCCTCATCCTCAGCTCACTCACATCCTTCTCAAGCCAACCCTAGTGGCTCCACCACTGTCTTCCCCATCCCAAGCCTCCATGTCTCCTTCACCCCTCCCCCTTTCTGCTGCATCCTGAGCTGAGCTGAGCTGAGCCTGTCACCATCTCCTGTTTCAGCGATGGTGCAGGGCGGACTGGCACCTATATTCTCATCGACATGGTACTGAACCGTATGGCAAAAGGTGAGGACCTTCCCCCAGTGCCCAAAGCCCAGCCCCAGGCTTTGCCCAATCCTCCAAGCTTCCCACCCCAGGACGGCCCAGACTTTCTGGGTCCTATGCTCCTCTGGACACCCACTGAGCAGCCCTGTGCCTCCCGCCCCCAGGAGTGAAGGAGATTGACATTGCCGCCACCCTGGAGCATGTCCGTGACCAGCGGCCGGGCCTTGTCCGCTCTAAGGTGACTGTTCCTCCCTGTCCCAAGCCTTGATGCCACCCTTGCCCAGGGAAGCCAGCAGCAGCCTGCCTCTCCCGCCTGCCTCTGTACCTCCCCCATAAGGACTTTTGCCTCCCTAAGTGACCTCCCCAGCTCCCTTCCCCAAGGGTCCTACCGGGCCCAGAGCAGAGGCCAGGCCTACCCATGACAGTCTTCTCACCCCCCTTCCCAGGACCAGTTTGAATTTGCCTTGACAGCTGTGGCGGAGGAAGTGAATGCCATCCTCAAGGCCTTGCCCCAGTGAGCCCCCTTGATGGGCAGCCAGCCTCCGTGCCCTCTTTCTTGCCTGTGTGAGCATCTATCTGTGTATCCACTCTTCAGTCCCCCACCTGCATCTTGGCCCCTTCTGGGCATGCTCAGCCCTTCCAAGAGGAGTGTGTAAGGAAGGTCGGGGGTGGGGAGTGGGAAGAGGCAGGCCTGACCAGCCTCACGCATGCCAGAGTCGGGGGCGTCTCATGGGGGAGCTGGCAGCCAGCCTGCAGGAGGAACGTCATGGGCAGTCATTCCACCCAGTTCCTTCTCCTGCTGGAGTTCCCTGGCCCCTACCTCTCGCTATTCTGGATGCTCCTGTCTCTGTGGACAGGACACGGTGGAGGGGCTGCCACACTCAGCTCCCCCTGCTTTCCAAGACCCAGCTCCTGCTGCCCTGTCCTGCCTCCCCGACCCACGCTCTGGCTCCCACCCTTCCTACCCTCTCCCTCAGAGCTCCTCTCCCCACCCCACCCCCGCTCTCCCACCACGTGCCACTCAACTAACTCTCTCCCTCTGGCACAGAACATTTCTAGAAAAATCTACTTTTGTATCAGTGTGAATAAAGTTAGTGTCGTGTGTGCAGCTGCAACCTGGACTCCTACACACTTCTGTCTGCTCTGCTTCCAGACTCCTGCCCCAGCCTCAGTCTACAGCCAGTTTCTCGGGAAATGCAGAGTGTGACAGGAGAGCCAGGCCGGAGGGTCAGGCTCTCCAGGGTTTGGATGGACGCTAACAACGAAGTCATAGTTTTTCTGTGCTGTGCTTCCTGCATGTTGGGCAGTCTCCAAGGTGCCTACATGCATTCGCTTGTTTATTATTTACGACAGCACTACCAATTATTAGCCCCATTTTATAAACAGAGACTTCAGCCCAGAACTTGCCTGAGGCAACACAGCTTGGAGGCGGTGGAGTCAGGATTCCAACCGGGCATGCTGCACCTCTCCTCTCAGTTCTAGGATAGCTGCTTGGGCCTCAGGAATAAAGTTCGTAGATTGAGGTTAGGCGTGAATGAGGTTCTAAACTCTGATAGTGACTGGTAGACGAGGCCTGTGAGATGTCACAACAGGCATTCACCTGGGGACAAGGGGCACTTTCTCCCTCCCCCATCCCGTGGCTCCCAGAACCCTCCACCCTGTATGGTCCCACAAGAGCCCTCACTTGCTTGTCATGAGGCATCCTTGGACAATGGTGATGGACAGGAAGTCTTGAGCTTGGTGCTACTTGGAAGGTAGGGCCACTTAACCTTGCCAAGGCTCAGTGCCCTCACATGGAAAACAGGGCAAGTACTATCTGCTTTGTGCAGGGAGAGAAGGAACCAGCAAGCAGATTACCGGCCCTTCTACGCCTCACCTGGTCTCGGCTGAGGTGCCTACAACTCCGGTATGGCATCTCAAAGGCTAGAAATCAGCACAACAGCCATTTACAAACTTCCAGCGTGTCTCTCTCCCTCTCTCTCTCTCTCTCTCTCTCAATAGGGGCTTGAAATCCTTTCAGGGCAGGCTGCTTCCTTGCTTTGAGAAAAATGTACTATAGCCCCTTTGGCTATTGAAGATGAAGCCAAGTGCTTACCCTGGAATAAGAGAATTGGTGGGGAGCCACACTTCCCTGCTTGGCAATGGGATGCTTGTCCCATGGCTGGAAGGGCATCTCTACAGGTGTCTGGATTGTTGTGGGCTGGACCCCTGCGTGGAGTGGACTTGTGCCATTCCATGTGGGGGAGGTGGGCCTCTGAGACTCACTACTGGCTCTAGGCTAAGTAAACCTGTGGAGGGGCTCAGTCTACAGACCTCGGGAGTACATTTTTACAGGTTTTGATGTGTTCCCTGCTTTCTGTTGTCGCCATACTTTCAGTCAAGTCATACCTTAGTCTGGTCCTAGTTGTGCTCTAGAGTATTGGGTGGTGGTGGGTCCCTGCATAGAGGAACACAGCTGCCTAGGGAAAGCCATTTGTGGGGCCCCAGGAGATGAGGGCAGAATGTTTAGCAATTCTCGGTATTCCACAGCATACTTGGGGAGGGTGGCCTGATCAAAGTGGGGACATCTGCTGTCAGCTGGGAAGGCTTGCAACCTCTTGATGTTTGGGCAATAAAGGGAGGTGTGTCACCTACTGGTCCCTTAGGTCCCCCGGGCCTCCCTGGAAATGAAGAACACTGGGACATAGCACACCACCAAGCTCTTGAAACTCAGCTTTATTGAATTCCAGTGTTTCCCTCTGGTCTGAGCTCAGCCCAGCTGGCTTTGATAGGTCTCTGAGACACAGTGTCACAGGGTCTGGTAACACCCTGACTCCACCACTCCCCTCCCTGGCCACTGGGCTCCCCAGGCAGGGAGGAGGAGAGGCAGCTCAGCTGTGGGACTGGAGACAGAATGGGCAGCAGGGTCAGAGGCCAAAGAAGCCATACAAGCAGCAACATGCCCAGAGCACCCATCACATGCCAATCCTGGACGGACACAGGGACGGACGGACGGACACACACACACACACACACACACACACACACACACACACACACACACACACACACACACACACACACACACACACACACACACGAGAGAGGGCCCTTCAATTCAAGCTCTATGCTGGTTTAAGCCCATCAGCGTTCTGGGGTCACACCCTGTTTAGTGATCCCGCCCAGACTTGTTCCTCAGACCCCAGTACCGCCAATAGGAAAAGAGCCTCTCCCAGATGCCACAGGACTTTGATTTGTACACTCTAACCCTGGTGCTAACAAGAGGTGTCAGGGGAATGGAAGCTCAGAACATTACCCCTTCATCCACATTCTCACCTCCCCCCTCCCCCCACCCTCCGCCAGGGACAGATCAAATGATAACATCTCCCCATGTCACAGCCAGTGACAGGCCAACCTGGGTTGGAACTACATGTCCCAATATGCACGGCTCTATAACCATGCACTGCTTCCCTCAAGCACGGTCAATCAGAAATTGAAGGAGGGTGCATTGCATTCTGGGACATGTAGTCCACAAGAGAACATCAAACACCCAGGGAAGAGTTTATAGGCTAAGACTACCAACGCCTCCCACCACCCAGGCCCAACTCTAGCTCTGCACGGGTGAGGGAGAGGAATGGAGGGTCCCCTCCCTGTGCACAGGGGAGGGCGCTGTCCTGTTGAAACTGTGCAGCGGCTCTGGATCCCGGACATCCAGCTCAGAACACATCTGGGGAGAGAGCGGGGGTGGGTGACAGGAGAGAGGGTCAGCAGCAAGCCGTGGAGGACTGTGCCAAGCATGCAAACCTGGGCTAGCCCTGTGGCCTCTCCCTGAGCCCTGATGCATGGTGAAGTAGGATGGGGCACAGTCCCCTCCTAAACCTCCCTCCTGGGGCACCCTGGCCCTATCCCACCTCTCCAGGGTTGGCAGGCCTCACCTCTGCCTAGTCCCGAGGCCTGGGGCAGGCTGAGGCAGCAGGAGGAAGGGAGGAGGAGTGGGCTCCGGTTCCGAATCTGGATGGCCGAGAGGCTCCCGCCCCACCCAGCTAGCCTCCCCGGAAGACCTTATGGCCCTACTGGCCACAGCATCTTCCTCGACACACTGAGGCCTTCTCAGGGAAGGAAGAAGGGAGTCCTAGCCAGACGGCAGTGAAAGCAAGCGATGAGGCCCGTGGGGAATTGCAGAGAGGAGAGAGTGAGGAAGAAGCAGCGGCACCAGAAGAGAAGCAACAGAGACAGTCAGAGCTCAACACTGCACAGAAACCAGGGTGGGGGGTGTCCGCAGCTGGACAAGGAGAGTCGGAGACTCCCCAGTGTAGCTGCCAACTCAGGCTCAGAGAACCCCAGGCCAAGTCCTCCTTCCTTGACATCATCAGCAACATAGGTGGCAGACAACCTGGGCACAAAAGTACCTCCCCAAACCACTAATGCCCCTAATTAGAAGTGCATCCTGGCTCCTCAGGACCTCCCACTGCCCTGAGTCCCCCGCCCTGGGCTTCACCAGGGACCTATCAGCTCAGCAGAGCAAAGCCTGAGTCCACATTGGAGTGCAGGGAACCTGGGGGGACACCTGCAGGGGAAGCATGGAGTTCAAGGGGCCACACCTCTCTGCTCTCCTGACAGCGAGCAGGACCCCAGTCAACCCGAATTGGGATGGGTTGGGCCTGGTGATCAGAGGATGAGGCAGCGAGAGGCCTTCTCCTCCAGGGCTGGGCTGGGTTTGGCTGTGTCACCCCTTGCACCCTCTTGGGTCCCCCGCATGGCCAGATCTTGGTACTGGGCCTTGGGGGGCCCCTGCCGTCGTCGTCTCTGCACCTCCCGCCCACCTGCTGGATTTTTCCCAGCTGCCTCCATCTCTGACAGGCTGTAGGCCATGGCGAGCTGCAGGTCTTCATCATCCTCAGAGAGGTCGCTGTCAGAGGGGCGTGAGGCAGGGGTCTGTCGCACCTGCGAGCCCCCGGATCTGGAGGTGACAGAGTGTTGCTGCTCGCGACGGCTCAGCTCCAAGCCCAGCGCCAGGTCATCTGGGACACCTGCAGGAGTCAAGGCCACCATGAGGCCTTCTGGCCCAGGCCAGGGAAATCCTGCCAGGCTGCCTCGTGCAGCAACAACTATGACCACTCGTAGTCCCTAGTATTTTGACACATAGTATCGCGGTTATGAGCACCAGCAGGTATTCAGCTCAGCAGGTACAAACTATCTCCTTGTGCAAGTTTTTCAACCTCCCTGAGCCTCCCTTTCTGCATCTATAAAATGGAAATGATGGGAGTGTCTACATTGTTCAATTGTCCCAATGATTAAATAAGACAGCATAGTGTTCCCAGAGTCAGCAGGCAATGAAAGGGTAGCCATGGTGACTACCCCGTACAGAGAGGTGTTGTGGGAAGAGTTCAACTCCAGGAATCCTGTGTCCTGAGTTTCATTCCTAGCTTTCCCACTTACTAAGTGGGACAGAGCCTTGGGCCTGGGGGTACTTGGGATTAGGGCCATTTAACTGTGCTGAGATGCAGCTACCTCAAATGAAGAATGGGGTGAACACCAACTGCCATGCTTTCCCCCTGGCTGTTTGAATAATACAGGGGGTATGGTATGTGTGCAAGTGCTTTAAAAATAGTAAAGTGCTCTGCAAACTCCAGGCACTCCACTAACGATGATGGTGATGAGCCAGCCCTCTCCTCGATTCCCTGTCCTGGCCCCCTTCCCCATGATCACCATCTTGGACCCTGCCAGTCTGGCCAGTGGCTGCCATTCCCTCCCTGCCCCAGGGGAGTTTAGACAGGAGCAGTTTGGGGAAGGGGCTTTGGGGCCTGGGGCTACAGCTTCCTGCCAGGGACTGGGTGGCAGAGCCACTCCTCACCATTGATTGTGACTGACTTCAGCTGCCCATCCTCCTCCACTTCCACCCGTTCCTGCCCGTTCTCCGTGATTCTGTGGGAGACAGCACAGGTCATTCGGGGGGCATGTCTGAGTCCTACAGGCACTTGTCCAGGCTCTGGGATGCCACAGTGAACAGGACCATCTGGGCTCTGACCTCAAGGAGCTGACTTTCTAGTTGTATGCAGCTCCCCTCCACCCAGCATGGTCCCAGAGGAGCCCTCACCTGCGTGTTGTGATGCGGCGTCCTTGGACAAAGGTGGTAGATGTAGAAACAGAGCGAAAAGCACCGGCCCCAGGACTGAAGGAGAAAGATGAGGAGGAGAAATCTGGCATTGGGATAGAGGAGGAGGAGGAGAGGTTGTCAGACGGGCGCTGTATGCAGCAGGCTGCAGTCACAATGGGCTCGCCCCGCAGAGCTGCCCGGAGGCAGGAATCCAGATGCACCAGAAAGGAGGCTTGGAAAAGCCATGAGCTGCGGTTCCAGGACTCAGAGCTTGCAAAATGGGAAGGGACAGCACTTACCAGAGTGCCCAGGGAAGGAGGAAGAGAAGGTGAACAAGGGGCCCAAGTGTCGGGATCCTCGGTTCTGGAGCTCTGAGAAGGGACCCAGGTCATCTGCAACAAACAAGCAGATTAACCATCATCTGATGAAGAGATTTCCCCCAAGAAATGTGCGAATCCTGCTTTTAAGGCTAAATATAAACTGCTAAGCAACTTTTTTTCTTTTCTGCTTGGACTTACATACAAATTAAATTCCTTTTTAATATATAAAAAAATTCATTAGTAAATTCTGTCCACAATAAAGAGTAAAGGAAGGGGGAAAGCAAAGAGGGAGGGAAGACAGCTCCTTCAGTATAAGATCAGTATGATGTGATGTCAGGCAGACATGGCTCCAAGTCTGGCTCTGCCATCTGCTTTGTGACCCTAAGCAAGTTATTTGAATGTGCCTCAGTTTTTTCATCTGCAAATGGGGATAAAATTATCTACCTCACAGGGTTCATATTAATCACTCCAAAAAATGGTATCTGTTGTTGTTTGTAATGGCATTAGTATTGTCACATGATGCTTTGAGTCTTGCTTTCATGGCTGTCATTGTTGAGGTCTAACAATGTGTTATTGTTGTGATCGTTTCATAAGGCAAGTCTCTGAAGTGTCACTACAGGGTCATGTGGGTAGGTTCTGTCCCAGCTCACACTGGATTCACCCCCACAAAATCTTCAGCCTGTGGCCTTCTGCTCCCCTTTCAGCCTCCCGCCTGAGCTAACGGAGGGCAGGCCTGGAAGGGGAAATCAAGCTAGTCAGAGGCCTCCTGAGCCGACTCACCAAAGAGCTCCGAAAAAGGGTCTCCGCTCCCAAAGAACTCCCGGAAGACCTCCTCAGGGCTGCGGAAGGTGAAGGTGAAGCCAGGCCCACCACTGCCAGTTTCTGCCCGAGTTGGGCCAGTTCCTGGAGGACAGGCAGGATGAGGAGGGGGCTTAGGGCATGCATCTTGCCAAAGGTAGGGGACCCCGCCTAAGACATGGCGAGGAGCCCCGAGAGAGCACCGTTGTAAGAATCTGCCCGTCCTCTCTCTTCCCTGACCCACTTCTATCCCTAGGCCCCAAGGCCCCACCTACCTGCTCCAGTTAGCCCTTCCCGGCCATAGCGGTCGTAGACCTCTCGCTTATGCTCTGGAAAGAGAGACTGGATCATTTCTCCCTCCCTCTGGGATGCCAGCCTCCCCTTCTGGGCTAAGACCCTCAGAGGCATGCCCAGAGATTGACACTTGGGGGGCAGCAGGGTGCTCAGGGGACACAGGCTATAGGTTTTAGCAGCAGCTCAGCCCTTCACACAGTGGCTCCTTCTCATCTGTAAAACGGACATGATAACAGCACCTATCTCATAGGGTTGTTGCAAGGATGAAATGAGAGAAGTCACATAAATGGCATAGCCCAGCACCTGACAGAGTAAGTGTTCCATAAATGTTAGCCAATTATTAATGTGTTATTATTGATCAGGGCTTAGCCTAAATGTCACCTCCTCAGAGAAGCCTTCTGGGACCACCTTAATAAAAATCGGTGCCCATTATTCCTTATCACATACCCCTGCTACTTTCCTTTGGAATACTCTTGTCTACGTATTAACTTGGTTAATGTCCATCTTCCCTGACCAGATGTGATAAACCCATCAGGAGAGGGACAATGCCTATTTTTCACTCCATTGTTCCCCAGTAGCAAACAACAGCCCAGCAACATACGCATTCAATGAATATTTTTTGAATGAATAAAAGATCTGGATTCATAGTCCAGGTCTGTGTGACCTTGAGCAAGTTACTTCACCTCTCCCAGCCTCAGTTTCCTTGCCAGTAAAATGGGGGTGATAAATCCTGCCTCGCAGGATGGCTGTGAAGACTCATGGAGATTATAGCCACCAACACCTGGCACAGAGGAGGCTTGGCACACATTGGTTACCTGCCCTGCGTCTTTCTTTGTCAGGACCCATGCTGCAACTACCAGATCCTGGGGAGCAGACACTGAGCACAGGGGATTAGGGTAAGAATAAAAAGGTGCTTGGCACACAGTAGGTGCAAAAGAGGAAAAAAGAAGTGAAAAAGAGGAAAAAGGTCCCAGAGTCCCTGTGTGAGGGGGGCACTTAAATGCCAGGTTGGAAAAAGCATGGAAGAGGCTGGGGTGGTGGCAGCATAGCTTTGGGAAGGAATGCAGTGGGGCATGAAGTGGGGGGGTGATGGATGATGTCTTGCCCTGACCCTGGCCCTTACTGTCGGAAAGCACTTCATATGCCTCTGCCACCTCCTTGAACTTCCTCTCAGCAAACTCTTTATTATCCGGATTCTTGTCTGGGTGCCACTGTAGAGCCTTACGTCGATACCTGCAGGAAGTGGGTTCAGAGGGGAGGGTCAGGACAAATGCAGGTACTTCCCACTAGGGAACAGAATGACCCATTTTCCCATCAGCCGACCACTGTCCTTTCACCACTCAGAGCCCAAAGCACCCCAGCTGCTGGGGCTGCCTCTGTTATGTTTTAATGGAATCCCTATCTCCCCTCTGCAGCCAGTGCTAGGGCTAACTAGTATTTGCAGATGATAATGTAAGGATGAGAAGGCCCCAGCTCTAACCCCTCCCTCGGGATCTCTCGTGCTAGGGTTACAAAAGTCGGGGGTACATGTGGCCATGAATGGTACAGGGCCACTGGTCCTTTCTGGTCATATTGCCTGGGCATTTTTGCACAGCATCCTAGGGGCTGGGGGGGGAAAGAAGTAGAGGGGAGGGGAAGGGAGGGTTTACTGAAGAAGGACAGAGTGCAGCTCCCGTTAGAACCTCAGGCTATGGACTTTCTCTTACTCATCCAGGGGTCTCCCTACAGGTGTCAAGGACCTGGTTCCCTCAGCACTGCCTCTGAGGGGCCCCACAGTGGTGCGAGGGGGGAGTGGGGGGAGAGGTGGGGAAGAGGTGAGAGGCTTTGCGATGCGCAGCGGAGGCACTTACGCCTTCTTGATGTCGTCAGCCGACGCACTTCGCGGCACGTCTAGGATGTCGTAGTAGGATGCCATGGCAACTCGTCAACAGTCAGGCAGGCCTCCTTGGGGGTGCAGGAGAGAAGGACGAGTCAGGCAGAAAGACCCAAGCGCCCCTCCCTGGGGCTGGAGCCCCCGGGGTGGCGGGAGGCGTTCTCAGGGGGAAACGGAGCCCACTGGGCTCTGCTTGCGGCGGTGACTAGGCTCGCTCGGGCAGCCTTATCAGCCTCCGCAGGCCGGGGCCACCGGCTATCTCGGTTCCCAGGCCCGGGGAGCCCTAGCGCAGCCCCCTAATTCCGAAGCCCGGCCCAGGGCCCCCAGGCTGATGGGGCACCCTGTCCACACCTCCTCTGCCTGGAGTCCCTGGCTCCTGCGGTGCCCCGCCCCTGCCCCCCGCTGGGAACCGTCTGGCACCGGCTGCCCGGCTCGCGGCTGCTGCGTAGGACGCGCCCGGCTCAGCTGTGCGCGCAAGCATGCGTCAGCTGCACGGAAACTACTAGAGAAACCCAGAGGAGACCGGCTCAGCCAGTCACCCAGGGTGGGGGTGCGCGGGGGGAGGGGG